CATATACATATGTATATATGTATGTATACATATATATGTACATATACATATATAATTTATATATAGTGTATATTTGTATATGTATGTGTACATATACATATATACATATACGTATATTACATTATATGTAGATATGTATATACATATACATTATATATAATTATGTGTATATATGTTACATATATAATTATATATATGTGTATATATATGTGTGCATATATATATAATGTCATTGAATTTTCACAAGAACTAAGTCATTGCCCTCACTTTAAAAGAGAAATGACTGAAACTCTGAGAGGTTAACTTGGCTTCAATTATACAGTAAGTGGTAGAATCTGGTACCATGCTAGGCCTTTTGGGGACAAATACAATATAAAATCTGGTTTCTAGCATCCTACAATAATCCTCCATCTTTCAAAAAAATGGTGTTCCTACTCCCTCCAAGTAACCTCAGACTTTACTATGAAGAAAGACAATACAAGATTGCAGTAGTAGTAAGAGAAAAAGCTATTTAATGCTGTGCATACAAAAGACTTCTTTTTGGAGGACTTCTAGTTCTGTCTCAGCACGTTAGAAGTCATATTTCTCAGGAAATGTGTGCAAAGTCTATATGAGGAAAACTACAAAGCTAACAAAAGGTATCAAAGAAGAACTAAATAAAGATACATTCCATGTTCATGGATAGGAAGACTCAATCTTGTCAGAATGTCGTTTCTTCTCAAGTTGATCATAGATTCCAGGCAATCCCAGTCAGATTTCCAATGAGTCATTTTGTGGATATTGACAAACTGAGATGTGTAGGGAATAGGATAATTTAAATGGACATTGGACATTTTTTTCATGTCATATACTCTGTAATGGCATAAATCTCAGTCACCAAACCAGAGGTGACTTAACTTCACTTTACCTTTATGACTTCACTTTTTACAACCTACTCCAAGCCTCTTTTTACTGAGTAATGGAAATAATCTATCAGTGCAAATTGCCGTTCCTTCTTTGAAGTTGATTATAATTACAAAGGGACTTTGAATAACTTACGCAATGCAATGAGATTGGAGCACCCTTTGGTGCTTAATATTTGTTGAGTTGTACATCTCATTGGGTCCTTGGTCTTTGTGGGGTTTTTTTCAGGCCATTGCTGTTTAATGTCTTAAATTTGGCTAACAGTCCTCACAGGCTCTGCTGAATCCCAAGACTAGGTTTCTTTTCTTCCTGAGTTATTCTGGCAGGCAGTGGAAATTATGATCTTGTCAGAGGCCTATTGTCTTAAACCCACCCTGCAGCCATTGCTCCTGTGTCATGTCTAGTGTGCAGGGATATTCTGGTCTTCCTACCTCTCCAGGATCTACTGGACAGTGACATAGTTTCTCTATAATATGAAATTCTCCACAGGTATTTGAAATTATTGTTTAGCTTCAGTGTGGAGCCTTGGTCTAAGATGAGGAGTGTGGCTAGGCTATGTGTAGGCATCTTTCTTAGGGACACACCAGAATCTGATCTCTCATTGCTTTTTCTCTTAATGGAAGTAGAAAACTTTACTTTTACTTCTTATATTTGTTATATCCTTGATACTTCCTAGAGCTTAGGTTATTCACACTCTTAAGCTTGTTCTGTATTTTTCTGCTGTGCTGAACTTTTCATGGATGCCAAGGCTATGCAGATCAAATGAGAAAGGTTTTAAGAAGTAACAAGAAATAAAATAAATGATATTATTATTTAATATTCTCTCAGCATCTCTTATGTGAAGGTGAGGGAAATGAGAATTGTGGAGATTTAAAAAAAGAGATGAAATCAAGAAGTACAGCTAAGACTAGTAGGTGGGTAGTTCAACTTTTTCTTCTTCCATGATGCCGCAGTACCACTAAAACTCCAATGACAAAAGAGAAATGTTATAATAATAATAACAACAGGTAAAATTTATTTGTGGCTTAGTCTGCTGGGTACTTCTGTAATGAATACTTGTGAATTATGGCATTGAATCCTCACAGTTACAGGGGGCAAATGTATTTCTTCATTTTTACAGGTGAGAGAACTGAGGAACAAAAAGGAACGTTGACATGCACAGAGAGGCAATAGCTGTCTCCAGCTGTAATATTATGCTACCCTGGTTGGGTGGTTGTACTAGTTATTGGTGGTTTATGTTGCTTCATAACAAATTATCCTGAAACTTAGCAGCTAAAATCAATAAACATTTTATACAGTTTCAGTTAGAGATTTGGGAGCAACTTAACTAGATGTTACTGGCTAAGAGTTTTTCATCAAATTGCAGTACGGTGTAAACTGAGTCTGCAGTCACCTGCATAACTGGGGCTGATGAATTCCCTTCCAGATTCGGTTGGTTGCTAACATGCCTGGTGAATTTGTGCTGGCTATTAGCAGGAGGCATCAGTTCTTTGCCAATGGTCCCTCTCCATAGAGTTGCTTGAACTTTTTTGTGACATGGTGGTTGGCTTCCAAAAAGAATGATGATTAAGAAAGAAAGAGCAAGAGTGAGAGACAGAGAGAGAGAGGGAGGAAGAGAGCCTTCAATACCTTTTAGGATGGCTAGTAACACCAGGCTGGAGTGCAATGTTGCGATCTCAGCTCACTGCAACCTCCAACTTCCAGTTTTAAGTGATTCTCCTGCCTCAGTCTCCTGAGTACCTGGGACTACAGGCTCATACCATCATGCCCAGCTAATTTTTGTATTTTTATTAGAGACGGGTTTCACCATGTTGGCCAGGATGGTCTCAATCTCTTGACCTCATGATCTGCTCGCCTCAGCCTCCCAAACTGCTGAAATTACAGGCATGAGCCACAGTGCCTGGCCAACTTCAGGTTGTACCTCTTTCAAATTCTTATATTGGTGCTCTAACCTTTGATGGGATAGTATTAGGAGGTAGAGACTTTGTAAGGTAATTAGCTCATGAGGGTTTAGTGTCCTTATAAGAAGATAAAAAGTGCTAGTACCCCTCACTCTTTGCCATGTGATGATATAAGATGTCACCTGTCTGCAGGCTGGTAAAGAGTCCTCACCAGAACCTGACCATGCAACACCCTGATCTAGGATTTCCAGTCTCCAGAACTGTGAGAAATAAGTGTTTGTTGTTTAAGCCACCAAGTCTATGGTAATTGTTTTTGGCAGCCTGAACTAGGACAATAACTTGGACTAGGAGAAATACACTGTCACTTTTGCCATTTTTATTTGTTAATTTATTGATTTCATTTAGTTTGATGGAAGCCAGTCACTAAGTCAAGCATGTTTTCAAGGGTAGAGCAATTAGTCTTCATCTTTTGAAGGGAGAAATGTGAAAGAATATGAGGCATGTTTTAAAACCACCACAATAGGCATTCTACATTTATCCTGAACATTGTAATTTAGTCCAATTTAACTTCTTACTCTTTAAATGTATGTGTGAAAAATATTGTCACAATAAACACTTCCAAGGTGGCTATATTATGAAAAATATATTGCATACAATTGAATCTACCAATACCTTGGCTAGTGTTATGGCATAAAAATAGTAATAGCTTGGATGTTTGCTTTATTGTGCTTGGGAATCGGTTTTTTAATTTATAAAGATAACAATTTCCTCTGCCTTGTTTGTGACTGTTCTGTTGGTTTTGTTCTTTTTTTTTTTTTTTTTAAGGGAGTCTGACTCTGTTGCCCAGGCTGGAGTTCAGTGGCACAATCTTGGCTCACTGCAGCCTCCCCCTCCCAGGTTCAAGCGATTCTCCTTCCTCAGCCTCCCAAGGAGCTGGGACTACAGGCACATGCCCCCACGTCGAGCTAATTTTTTGTACTTTTAGTAGAGGAGGGGTTTCCCTGTGTTAGCCAGGATGGTCTCCATCTTCTGACCTTGTGACCTGCCATCCTGGGCCTCCCAAAGTGCTGGGATTATAAGCATGAGCCACCGCACCCAGCCTTGTGGCTGTTTTTAATGTATTTTCCATTTTCACTCTTGATATATTGAAGTCAGACTCTGTAGTGCATTCATCATCCTTGAGTTGCATTCATAGATAAAATGCAGTTTATAGCCGCCAGCTCTACATGCATGGGTTTAAACCCTAGTCTTACCACTTAAGTATTTTGTATTTTTGGATATTTAAATAGTTTAAGTCTCAATTTCCCTGTCTGTAAAATGTAGATGAGAATAGTGCATATGCCATGTGATTACGATGAGTAAATGATGTACCTGCATGTCAACTGTTTAGCGCAGTGCCTGACACATAAATGTTCAATATAGGTTATTTGCAGTGTTCTCATTTTTAAAAATTAGAACAAAACTGATATACACTGACATTTATTTTTTTTTAAAGTAACTGACAAGTGACAGGAGACCACTAATTTCTTTCTCATAGATATTATGATATTTAAATATGTCCTCTTTTAGCAAACAAAGCTTTAAACTAATCAGCTATCAAACATCTGATTTTTAAGCACCTTATTTTCAAAGAATTTATCCATATTCCCTTATGATCAGACCAAATGGCCTAATTGATTTACTATTCCCCCTTAAGGTCACTTGGTTAATGACAATAAGACACTTAATTGTGATAGAGTTGCAGGTCGAGCTTCCCAGCTACCCCAGTTTTACTGAAATGTGCCTCTTGCTTTCTCTTTTCAGTCTTGTTCTCTATTAAGTCAGATCTCTGATGATTGTGTTATCAATCACACTAGCAACACTTACTATGTCCAATAATATTCTTAGAAAATAATGTATAATCTTTAGTGATAAACTTCTGTCGCTATTTTTATTGCACATGGTAAGTAAAGCAATGTGCGAATACCTGAGTTGGTAAATGGAATGTACCAAGATGTATAGTTGACTCTTTTTTATAAATTTAGGAAGTATTCAAATCACTTAGTTCCTGGGCTTTTTATGACTATGATTCTTAGATTGAATCTCTGGAAAGGTAAATAATTTAATTATTTGAATTCAAATCAGCATGGGCTTGTCTTCTCTTATTATGAATATCATCATTATTTAATGACAACACTGGAATTTTCTGTTTTATGGAAAGTAATGAATCATCCAGCTATCTATGAAGGTAGAGTATGACAGATGTGACAGTCCACAGAAGATTCTGTCAGGTAATTTGGCTTCAATTTACCTCGACCAGCCAGTTCAATGCTTAAAACGACTTACCTCTCAAGCATATAAATAGGCATTATTGTCCAACTTTATGTAACATTTTTCCATCTAGGCTGTTTTTTTTTTTTTTTTTTTCCAGAGAATATGCTGGGCAAGAAAAATAAGACATTTTCCTTTGGTTGGTTTGTGAAGATTTTCAGTCGTGGATGTGCATCAGAATTATCCACGGGGCTTTAAAAGATTCAAATGCCAAGGCTTCATCTTAGACTTACTGATTTGGAGAATCTAGGGACGGATACACAGGTTTAAAAACCCCTATTGCTAATTTTATTGCACTCTTAGGTTTAAGAATCATCACATATGCTGAAGTTTTAATTGAGAAAAATACCAGCAGTCACTTTGCAATTTTCTTTTTCCTAAAAGTGTAGATTAGAAATTAATGCACTATCTAGTACACACTAAACAAGCTCTGTCATGGTAGAGATTTTTCACAGAGCTTCAAAGCTCGTGTTAAAGGAAATAAAAAAGCTATAACAGGGAACCTCTCTGTTCTTGTAACTTGGGTTAGAAAAATTTCTGGAAAAAGTTCTGTTCTTTGAGGAAATCTAATAAACCAATTCTGAGCTGCATTTTATTTTTACTTTTACTTTTTACCTTTCAACAAACTGATGAACATTTCAAGGCTTTTTTCCCGCCTCATGTATGATTTTGTAGAATTCATTGACTTATGATTCAAATGTAAGGTTGTATGTGATTGGATTTTTGTGATAAACTTTTTGTTTATAATTTACTGGATTCTATAATCTTGCACAGGTCATTTGCTAATTTCAAACTTTAAAAATCTCAGAATATAATGTGTCATATTAATCTTACACTATACTGAAACTTCCTTGGGGCAGTTACGAGGTTAATATCTACTGAATGAATAAATTCCCTAAATCTGCCCCATTTTCACCCTTTATTTCTTTTGGCCTGATAGAAATGACGTGGGGCATGTTTTATTATAGCAGATATGTGTGTGTGTGTGTGTGTGTGTCTGTGTCTGTGTATGTATTTATTTGTTGTGACCATCTAGTACCTTTTAAAAGAGAATGAAAAAATGTATGCACTGAGAAGTGAATTCTCCACTCTGTTTCCTTTGCTATATCACATTATAGCACCTCTTTGAGATGTGGTTTTAAGCCTTGAACTTGAAATGTTAATTGGTTTGTTTTTACAAACTGGACAGATTCTTTAAAACCATCACCATTCTGCTCCTCACGATAAAATTAGCCACTTTGCACTTAATATTTTCTGGTTCCAGGCTACATGTATGTTACTATGGAAAAACATCTTACATTTTGTGAAAGATGGTTTGGAAGAATTAAATGTGTGCAAAGTGAATAATGCTGGCAACAAAAATTATTTTTGGAAAGCCTGCCTTTATTAAAACTAATTTTTCAACAGAAAATAAGACACAAGTTTTCTAGCAGTATCTATGAAGCTTTTACTAATTTTTAAGTGATTTTGCATATTTTATCATGTTTATAGCACATTTAATCCTCAAACATCTAGGGATAAACTTGAAACTTTGTACCTGAATGATTAAGAAATGGAGGAAAAGTTGTGACTTTCTTACTATAGTTAATAGTTTTAGTAAATAAAATAATAAATTTTATAAATAAATTATTTAAAAAGTTTTAATAAATAAATTAAAATAATAAATTAAATCTACCATTTAGTAAGTAATTGTAACATATCAGAAATTCTGCTACTTGGTGTATATGTATCATCTCATTTAATCCACTCAGCAACACAATAAAGTAGGTATTGGCAATGAGGAAACAAAGGTTCAGGGCAATTGCCTTGCTGAACACCAGACAATAGGTGGCATGGTAAGTGGCTAGATTTGGCACCCAATCCACTGGAATTGAAAGTCCTGTCCTTAACAATGCTGCTATGCTCCTGGGGCTTAACGCAATTTTCCTAACGACAAATACCTTTTTTCCCCATTCTATTATGCTTTCATTTTATTACTGCAACTATAGACCCAAATCAATGAAGACAATGTAAATGTGCTGACCACATTTATGAATTGTAGATTTTAGTTAAACTAAATGAAGCATTATACAATTTATACAAAAATATTTAATGAATTTTATTATTGGTAAATACTCAAAAATAATTATTATTTGATTGGATTTACTGTTTTATTGCCTCCTAGCTTGCAGGACAATATTCTGACTGTCATTTAAATTGAGATTTGTTATTTTATAAACTGTCATTCACAGAAAACATACATTCACTCAAAATAATGTCTTGCCTCTCTCGGAAGCGTACCCTTATTCACAGGTGTAGTTTAAAAAAATTATTCTGGATCATGGTGACATAAGTAGCTAGTGCATGAGAACATCCACAGAAGAACATAGCCTTGGAAAGGCCAAATATTCTGGTGTTCAAGAAATCTACCTTTTAAAAACAGGCCTCACATTTACTCTTTACACCATGCGTGGCTGGAATTGTGCTTCTGTAAATGTGTTGTTTCTCTTAGTCCAATTTACTGGCCAGATGTCTGTGTCATAAAACCACCATCACCACCGCCACTCCTGGTACTAATTAGCACCCCGTTTGTCAGCTTCAGTCCAGTGGTGGGGATGTGAGTGGTTATAAATACTGTAATACCTTCTCACCTGTGAAAGTAGCTCTTCCAAAGACAAAGAAGAAAGCACAGCAGGCGGGAAGCCTGCATTATTGCCACCTGAGCTGTTCCTTTCTCTGGACAATTTCAAGTCTTAACATCTGTTCTAAACACTACGTTTATTAAACTAAATAACAAAAGACATTCATCTGTATATAATAGTCCTCCCAGGGGACACAGAATGGGATTTCCCTCTTTCTAAAGAAAGTGAAACAGTTGACAGAGTCTTGTGTCTGTTTAATGTCAAGAAAAGCAGCCTGGGAAATGGAAAAGGAACTTATTAGGAAAGATTTTTTTCCCCTCTTTGACCGTGGTATGACTGTTGCTGAAGATATGCTTATGTGAATTCTCCTACAGTTTTTAATTACTGGGTTTAATTGTTGGCAGGTGGGTAAGAGTTCTGTTACATGTAATGTTTAATTGTTTATCCTTTGCTCTTTGTTAGAAATTGAATGCATTTTGGAATGCATTAGTTTGAAAATGAGACTCCAGAGGTCTGTTGTGATAATGTATTCTTTTCCCTTCTAGAGGACAAAATAAACTCAGATGGTATAGTTCTAATTCTTGCAAGGTCAAAAACTTTCCTTACAAGTAGAAATTACATGACCAATGAATATAGAGGTCATCCACTTAACATTCTTAATAAAAGTTAAAAAAAAAAAAAAGGAAAGTGTAGCCATCTTAGGTAGATATAAAAGCCCATTGTGAAGCCAACACAGAGGGTATCAATAAATCTTTTAACTTTTCCCTTTCGTATGACAGTTACAACTTGACTTTTACTCTCTCACTTTTATTCCTTTGCGTCCTAGTCTCCTAAAGACTTCACCTAAATTTTGAATGTATTTCCTCCATCTCAAGGCTCTCAGCACTCACATACCCTGTAGCCTCAATCCTTTACAGACCTAAAACTCCAGCAAGCTGGAGCTCAAAGGAAGTGAGTTGGCTTTTAGAAAAGCAAGTGGAAGAATAAAAAAGCCTTAAGGGATTCAGAGAAGTAAAAATAAACTGGTTACAGGTGTAGAGAGAAAGTCCAGTCAAGGATACAATTCTAGGGTAGGCATGGGCTTGGAGTATTGGAGTGGAGGGTAGCACTTAAATGAGAGTAGAAATCTAAGAGAAGAAAACGTGTGGAGGATAACTCTTATGGAAGATGAGAGATATATTTGATGAATATTGGAGGAAAACATGCCTTGAGGATGTTGATGAAGCTTTTAAAATGAGGGAAAAAAGAAAAGAAGGCTTAGTACTTATTGATCTTGTACTTACATTAGTGATGTCTGCACTGCGCCGACAGTGATTATCACATGCCTCAGCAGACACACTATTTCTTATTGTGACCCACATGTGATTATACATTTATGGCACATACATGACCACTGGCTAACATGTTGAGTATCTAAATGACAAATGAGAGCCTGAACTTTTGTAAAAACATACCCGTGGTGTGAAATGTGACAAAAATACTGTGTCATATGAGTTGCTATTTCGAGTTTGACAACAAGGACTTTTATTTGGGCATGTTAAACAAGGAGTGCTATATTTCATTTACAAAGAGCTTCTAGCTATGAGTTTTATGAACCCAATAAGGAGGCCAAGTTTGGCTGCAGTAAAACTTATTTGGATTGATTATTTGGATTGCTGATTTATTGCAAATTGGCTTCTTCTCCTTTTTCTTTTTAACCAATTACACATGCAGAGAAAACTTAGATAATCTATCCAGACTTTTCTCTATCAGACCAACATTGAGCATTAACTCACATTCTCACATATTTCCTCCTGTTCAGTTTGAAATATCTCAAGCAGATTCCTTTGGTAACTTTCTCCATGAGTTTAAAAAGTATCTGCATATTTTACTTCAGTTTAAGATATTATTTATTGAATTTTCGCTTTAGTTTTATTTCACTTATCATGCATGTACTTTTTTTCTTCTTCCTAAAATATCATGGTATGCATTTTGGTAGATCCATATTAAGTATGATGAATAAATGCTACATAAAACTTAGCAATGTTATATGCTTTAAAAATATATATCCAATTGCCAAATACCATATATAGAAAGGTGTGTAACATGATGATTTAATTTGCATACATATTGTGTAGTGGTTGCTGCAATTAACTAAATTAATTAACACATCCATCACCACCAATGCTGTATTTTACAACCCTGACCTTATCTTATAACTGAAAATTTATATTTTTTGGCCAACATCTCCTGATGTCCCCCAACGTCCAGCCCCTACTAACCACTATTACACTCTGTTTCTATGAATTTGAATTTTTAGAGTCCACATATAAATGAGATTACTCCAGTGTTTGTTTTCCTGTATCTGGCTTATTTCACTTGGCCTAATGTACTCCAGTCTCATCCATATTGTCACAAATGGCAGGATTTCCTTCTTTTTTATGGCAGTATAATAGTCCATTGTGTATGTATTTAAACACACATACATTTTCTTTATCCATTTTTCTGTTGATGAACACTTAGGTTGTTTCTATATCTTGGCTATTGTGAATAATGCTCCAGTAAACATGAGGATGTAGATGTCTCTTCAAGAAGTAATTTTATTTCCTTTGGCTATATATCATACTCTTACTACTTTTTTATTTTTATACAGAAGAGGGAAGGAGAAAGCTGGAAATATTTAGTGAATAGAACTCCTGACTACATCAAATGGGCTTAGAATTCAGGATTAAAAATAATTATCTCTCTCTCTGA